AATTTATTGGGTTAACATTTTTACTGCGAACTTTATGACCATGGAAATTGCAATCAATATATGTCAAGCACCTCTGTGCTTTTGATTTTAAGCTAAAAAAGGCGAGGCTCTGACATGGGTAATAATAGGAATGTTGCTAACACTTGACACATGGCCACCACATATTCTTCCAGCAATCAGATGTGTCAGCCCCTTTTTGCCCAAGGAATTTAAGTGTAGGCCATGTGTTGTGTAGTCACCTCTCACCAGACTATTCCTATTCAGAAATTGTTTTCCAAATTATCCAGTTACATTAACAATTGGGGTGTTTCCTATTCTGGCATTCAGGTCGCCTGCTAGTATTATGTAATCATTTTTGTGTACTTTACTAATTATATATTTTAATTGTTTATAAAAGTTCTCACTTTCATCTTCTCTCCCTTCTTCAGGGGCATACAGGGCATGTAGTGTTAATTTTCCTACATTAAATTTGATTCTGATTTCTAATATTCTTCATTGTAGAATTTATACTAGAGAATTTGATTTTTTTATAGACTTGTGACACCATATCGTTACTCTTGCTTGAGCACAAATGTTTCTGTCAACACCTGAATATATAATTCTGCGATTCAGTAGTCCTTTATGATGTCTTTGTTTCTGTGATAGCTGCACTTCTGATATTACTTTAATTTAAAATGGAGTCTAATTCAAGTTCTTTATAATCTATACCTCTTACATTCCCTGTCGCAAAGCTACGGAAGTTCTCTTTCTTCCACAATTGTCTTACCTTCTTCATGCTATGGTCTGTCATTGTTTGATCTGTCCATTTAGTAGTCATTTGAGGATTGAAAGAAATTGTATATCTCGGGACAGGTTTCTAGCCAGACACTGGTTAAGTCCAGTGGTGGGGCTGCCACCTTTTAGCCTTCTGGACAGGCTTCGAAAAGGCATATCCACCATTGCAGATAAATCATCCCACTGTGACTCAGACCCCAGTGCATCGTTTGTTAAACAGGTTGCACCGCAGGAATTTGAGGATGGGAGTTGGGCAGGAGTGGCTACACGAGATGCATCAATAATCTTTGCAGTCCTTTGAAGAAAACTGCTAAATT